ATCAAATTCATCCAAATATTATATAAACAAAGAAAAACTCTGGTCAGTAACAGGTCTTGAAAATTTGACTAAATCTACCTAAATTAGTTGAAAGCGTAACCGGAAAGAAATGGTCCAGGCGCGGTCACATTGAGGCCTGGGATCCACACCTACTTTGTTTGTAGAGGAAGACTCAGATGCTCGGGGCCCTGCATCCCTTACGATTGGATGCCCTGCACGCTAAAGTTTGAAATGACTTTTTCTACTTTGAAATTTCTGGATATTGCGTGGTCCTGCGGGTGTGATTACAGTTTTTGTGTTTTACAAGTAAAATAATATCCAGTTTTCTTCAGATTTGGTGTTGGGGATATTCCAAAAGCCTATGTTTGTGTTTCTAAAGTTATACCAATTTCCACATCATACTCAGTATTGGTTTAAGTTACAGAAAGGACCCCTTCAAATATCCTTGTATTTAAGAACAATTCAAAATACCTCTGCCGACGAGATTTTTAATAGAGTAAACGACATATTCCCATCCAAGGTTTGACGAAATCCCAAGTTAGTACCATTGGTTCCATTTATTCCAAATTCTCACCCTTAAAGTGACGAAAAAACGTTTGATATAACGGTAAATGGGTAAATTGGTCATTTTACATGGGCGACGCACGTTAGCAGATCATCGCCTCTAACAGTCCTCCGGCGCACATTAACAGCCGTTGTTCACGACGTTTTTCGCTCTTTTCCAGCGATACTTCCACCCAAAATCACCCTTGTCACCACCATTTAAACCCCCATCCTCCCCTCTACAAAACCATACCATTCACAACCCCTCATCACTGGCCGATCTTCGGCCACGGCAACGAAACATAGTCGATAAACACGAACTCTCGGCCGGCGAATGACGACGAAACGGTTGCTGGGGACATAGGGGTTTTATAGATTTGGAGACGGTGGTTGCATTGGTGGTGTCCAATTGGATTTTCACAGCCGGAATCAATCGGAATCCGGTGAAGAACACAGAAACCCTAAGCCTAACGGTGCCGACGATTGGAGGGGCAAATGAGTCAGGAACCTGAGGGGTTTTGGACGACGGACTACGGACTACGGGGAAGGTGATGGAGGTGACCAGGGGGTTCGACGTTGTCGGAAACAGCCCAGATCGGGCTATTTCCGTCGAGGTTTTATAGTGACCGAGGGTGTTTTTGATATAATTTGAAAATAAAATGGTAAGTTTTGTAATTCTACTAATTTAGGGGTTAAAACATAATTTATTAATTTAGGGTTAAGGGCATTATGGTAATTGCACCCTCTAAACCCTAAAAATTCATAACACCGTTACTTTAAGGGTGGGGTCTGGAATAAATGGAACCAATGGTACTAACTTGGGATTTCGTCAAACCTTGGGTGGGAATATGTCATTTACTCTTTTTAATATATATATATATATATATGTTTTTGTTCTCAGTGTAATATTTCATATTCATCTATATTACTTTTTTTTTTTTTTTTAATGAATAGAAGTGTCCAAGTCAGCTTACACGTACCTCAATTAATCCCTTAGAATCCCAGAACTATTAATTGGATAAAAGCTCCGGTGGCTAACCCTATTAACAATCGAAGAAGAACTCAAACCTAGGACCTCTTAAATAATACACCTAAAAATTTTAATCGAACCATTCGACCATCTAGAAATAGTTATATTGATCAATATTTTGTTATATATAATCGTCATTGTCAAAATCAATATTTTCAAAGACTTTTTGAATGACTAATTGATTATTGTACATCACAACTTGCATCTATTACAAGAATTGACTATCTGCATACACTGAAATAAACAATTTATTTAATAATTAAACTTTAACATTGTTTGGGTTAGGCAGCTTAATCTCTCAACAATAACATGCTCATCTATGAAGCAATCACAAATAGGAACAAATAGCAAATACTTATTATATTAATCCAAGAACTAACTCATTAACAATAATATCACGAAATATTAGTGGTCAATACTATCAGTTACATCATATTCAATGCTCTAGGCCCAAATTTTAGTATTCAAAATTGACTCAAGATAACAAAGACTAATAAAATCAAAATGTAACTAAAATCAAAATGTAAGATTTGTTTTCGTCTTAGAAGATTTCGTCATGCCTGCTTTAATTAGGATAACTCCTGAAGGCTTAGTGCTCATATATTAAATTAATTGATTGGGTTTATAACAATAACCCCCCTCAAGAATAATTAAATAACAAAAATCCTTATAATAATAACATAAATTCCCTACCGTCAATTTTTTTATATTAAAATAAATACTAAGCATAATAACCATTTACCAATTATATTATACATTTTAACAATACATTAATGACTCGCTAATTATATGAGAATAGTTGTTGTTTTTGAAATCTCCAAGGAAAATTTAAAGATCAAACCATTAAATTTGTGGTCGATTGATAAGATTTTAATCATCTGAGTGAGTTATTTAAAGTTTTGTTCTAGAGTCTTCAATCCAAAAGTGTTACTAGATCCCAAGAATTAAACTTGGGTTAAAAACAAAAATTAAAGATCATAATCCCTAATTAATTACAGTAATTGGTTGTCGTTTTCATGGATGAAGTCATCAATAATACAAAAAATGCCGAAGAAGTTGGGAATGGGTCCACGTATATACCAAATTTCGACTGAAAATGTTAAAATAGCGTAAGTTTCAAAAGGTGCTGAGCATATCCACCTTCATCTCCTTATCCTTGTGATGAGAGAATCATGCACATTGCTTCCTTCGTCACTTCCATTTCCCACTGCCACTACTATAGATCCTTTTTCAAACCCCAAAAAGCAATTAGTCATCTCTAATTGCAATTTTTACCTTATATTGGATATGCATGAAGGCCATGGAATTTAGTTTGAACGTGGCATAATCCAGTTGGCCACTTGTATTGAGGATGAGGAGGAGTGTCTCAGCCTCATTATCTGACACGCAACCAATAAGTTGGGACAGGTTGAAGGCCGGGTCGGCTGTTGTTTTGTGGGATTTTCAAAAATGCGTGTGAGGTCACACATGTCATGTCAATCATTTGATTCATTTTTGGAGGGGACGGTGACCGGATCAAGATGCATCATTTTGTTTGTGGTGCAATCATCATGATTGTGTTGTGTTGCGTGTAATGTGTATAATATATACCTGAACATTTGAACCATGTCGGCTCATGATACTAATTCATACACGATAATAATTTTGCCGACTTAACTGATTAAAGAAACCTTAACTTTTATGATTATCATTGACTTTTATCATTCACACAGTAACAAAGGCTCTCTTTTGACGTCACACGTCACAAGCACAAACTTCGTTATCTTTTTTTTTTTTTTTTTTAATAATCTATGATCCAAGAGCTGCACAAGGTGATAACGTTACTTATCCCGTACACTATCATTCCCTATATTAGAATTTACAAGTGGTTTAATAGACAAGGTCAGAAACGGTTCTTCTAGGAGCTGCCAGGCCCATGTTGCTCCATGACCGTCCGATGAGGAATCTAAGACTAAGTGGCTGATATGATTCTCATAGTACAAGAAATCAAGACCTAACAGACTAAAAAATTTATACGGTGAAGCCGCAGCCGGCAGCTAATTGATTCCTGTAATTCGGTGGATGTGGGTCCTACTTAAGTCATGATCTCACACACCGCCAATAAAATAGGAAGGAATTGATTCTCATTACATGGATTGACTGCGAACCACGTTTTGCCCCCAGGAGGACCACCAATTTAACGCCACGTAAGATATAAATGGGTAAAATCAACACACACTTTCTTACGTGGCAAAACCTCATTCGCTTCTTCAGTGAAAGTGGGGCACCAAAGTCCCCTTGGAGAATCTTGTCTTTAACAACGTCTCTTTCTTTTCTTACGTGTGTAAGGGGGTGGGCAATTTTCTTCATAGCACACAAATGGACTTTGAATTTTTTTGGTTTATTGAATGGAAATTCTAGAATTGTACCATGGGACTTCTAGAGTGTCTTGTTATGATGATCTTTCTATATTCTACAATGTTGCTTTAGAACGCAATTGGAGTTGAAGATAGTTAGGGACCAGTTAGATTGATTCTCCATCTTTTTGCTATAGAAGCCACCAGATTTGCTGGCCTAAATATAGATCAAAATTCAGGTCGATGCTCCAAATAAAGAATCGCACGAGTTAAAATGCTTGCTCAATAACTTTTTTTGTTCATAGGAAAATACATGATCTCTTTTCCGATTTAAAAGATAATGACCATTTGCCAAATAGTAGGCATTTTCCTTGGATGTTCCGTCAATTGGACGGACCAAGCCTAATCATATCTGACTAGACAGAGTTTGGAACTTATGTCTTATCTATAAATTTTTATTTTTTTAACAACTTACGTTTCCAACTTAAATATATACCAAGGTGGGGGAAATAGTAGAAAAAACAAACCTACCAGCCATGTATCAAATCCAAAAAGAGAATAATTAAAAATAAGAGTAATACTACATTTATACCACCTTTTACACTATTTTCATTACACCATGATCATCATTATTATTATTATTATCAATAATTATTTTTAATTATTTTAAAAATTTAAAATAATTAAAATTTTGTTTAGATATGATATATGCTAAATTATGATATAATAAAAATGATGTAAAAGTAACATTACAAAAATCGGAGAGAAAGAAGTACTGATGAAGAAAACAAAGATAAAGAAACACTTTTAGAAGGAGAAAGATGTTTTAATTGCAACTCATTTAAGTATTTTATGTATATCATTCATCAATTTTCCCATTACTCAACACATTTTTAACATGTCTCAAAACTGGATTTTCAGAAATCAATGATAATTTCTTTCTCTTCCTCTAATTGGAGATTTTCCCTTATCTTTTCTTTTCCATATAGGTTTCTCTTTCGGGTAGGTGATTTTAAGATCCTATCTTGCCCTTGGTGGGATGGACGGTACGGTAGGCAAGGGCTTCGGGAGATCAAAGGCACAAATCTGACTTGCAGTTATTAATTAATAATTTGAAAATTAAAAGAAAAATATTGATGTACAAACCAATTCTTACAGAACCCATTTAATGAAAGAATATTTAATAGATTTCCTGGGTCAAGAATGGAATCCAGGAAATAAATTCATTGGTCCTAGGGCATAAGAGTTCTTATGTTGCTCCTCATGCATTCATCAGTTTTCTTCGTGTAATCAATGAATCAAACCAACTTGGGTGAAGGGAAAGTCTCAACATATATTTGCGCCCTTCAGATAAGCCTCAGTTCATACTCACCAGCCATTGTTATGTATCTTACCCAAGGGAGAGCCTGGTAACCACTTTTCTCAATAATCTTCAGGTATCGAACCTACAAAATTCCAACAATTATGTAAAAAGTTCACTATTAGTCTCAACCCTGTTATTGTTGGTTCTCTCAAGATGCTTCATACATTCATTAAAATCACAGAGAGTTGATTTGACCAACCACTTAATATCAATTTACAGTAACAATCTGATCGACTAGAAAGCTCTAACTTAAGCGATACAACCATGTATAAGACAAATTAGTATGAGGCCTTTCAATGTCTGGTGGAGCACAGGTCATTTACTTTGAGGACCAATTTTGGGACAAACAACTTTCAATCAACAGTTTATTTTTGGAGATAAGAGACACAGTATGTTATTGCATAAAAAGAACAAAGAAAAAAATAAGTGCTATGTGGTATATTGTTAGAAGGCACTGATGTTGCAAATGACTTCTCGCATTTATGTCTAAATGCACTGTTCATTCTTTTAAAACTTTAACAGCATCAATATCACAAGTGATCAAATCCAATTTAGTTTTCTCACATTGATCTGAGAAACTATTATATTCTTGAGGTGAGACAAGTAAATAGATGGTCGATGAAACTAATGGCATTCACCCAAAGGAATAATCAGAAATCGACCAAAAGAATAAGAACAGCAAGCTGTCATTTTTATGAAGGCGTACCTGAATTCCTGAAACAGTAAAATATGGTATTTCAAATTTCACACGTATAGGAGCTTTTCTTTCGGGAGTTGCTTCTTCATCAGTTATGCTGGGAAGAGTGAACTCAGCCCTCAACATGTATTCCTAAGTAATTTTGATTTGTCAACAGTATCAAAACCACGACTGAGGTGAAATCATATAAAGAATTACATAAAAGTTTCTTCAAATTTTAGGGCTAAACATTTAAAATTCAAGCTTAGCTCATACCTTGCCACCAGGGAAAGATTTTATTTTCCAGACAAATGCATCAGTTTCAGGTGCATATGATGCAGATCCCATTGAAGTCCGAATAATTGGATTGGAAGCATCAGCTGACACAGGCAACTCAATCTCAACATTTGTTGCAGTACTGTGTTATTCAATGATTTTTTTCATCAGTATTTAAGAAATTAAAACAACAGCCTGTTCAGAACTTGAAGCAATAAAGCTGACGACAGAAACAATTGCATAACCAAAGTACCTCCGCTCCTTGAACTGACTTCTAGCTTTTACCAGGATCTCAACACGACTTCTAGAATGCTTCTCAACTTGAGCTTCCACCCAAATCAGAGGCTTCACCTGATCAAAACAAGAAAATTATCAAATGCCATTTAATATGCAATTCAGGAAGGGGCAAAAATAAATAAATAAATAAATTATAAACCACAGGGTGAACCTGAGTATTGAGTCGATATGTCATGAGATCAAAAGATCCATCAGGTGGTATGAAGGAGATGGTCCTATCATTTTCAAATCGAGCCAAGCGCACGCACCTAGACAAAAAGTGGGAGAGGCAAATTTATTAGATCATTAAAAATCGGGATTCACAACCAATGCTTACAAACAGTTGTATTGCCAACATCAGATTAAAAGTAGGCTAGTTTCAAGTTACATACTGATGAAATTTAATGTCATCTAAATCAATAGCCTTCCCCTTTGTTGTTCGACCTTGTGCCTCCAACAATATTCTGTCATTTAGGCCAAGCTTACACTCAGGCATACCACTGGAAAAGAAAATTCAGTGGCTTTAGTCTCCAGCTGCGGCTAACAGATAAAAATGAGTAGCAAGCTCAAACAAAGAAAACTGGACGTGGAAGTGTTCTAAAATAAGTCTGTAACGGTTGAACTTTCCAAGCATTCTATAGGATAGAGTGGACATGCATACAAAGTTCTATACCAGTCAACACGCATGTAAAGAAAGCAATCTGCAAAGTTGAATTGAGATTCCTTTTTCCTTTCCCTTCCAGTGTTCTAATTTTTATTTGAACCCATAAAAAATAAAATTCACCTAGATTACTATCTAGGCCAAGTTAGCATAATCAATATGGAAGGTGTCAATAACTACAACTCACATAAAAACATAAATCCTTCCACTTCAATCTGCATAATTTCTTTACATGGTAACACAAAGTATAGTGTTTTAAGATATATTTACACAATTGTCAAATTTGATTCAGTGTCAAACAACCACTTTTACTGACTTATCACAGCATTGAAAACTCAGAGTTGGACAACACATGGGATTTGCAATATTCAACAAACTCAAATATTCTAAACTTGAAATAATAATACGTTTTTATGACGACTTGGCAAGCGTGTAGATCCTAAGGAAAAAACTTGGTGAGAGAACTATGAGTTGGACCAGTAATGCATATGAACACTTTTTTATATAAAAAATTTTGTGGTATGATAGGATTGAAGGAATGAAAACTAAATACATTATGTGACAATCATGCAACACTAATACATCAATTTGTAGGTGTAACATCAGTTTTTTTTTTGCAAGGAGTAACATTTAAGAGTAAAAAATAGCAAGAACTAACAAGAAACCAAAACCACAGAATTAAATTGTTCCAAATTTCAGTGGAAAACACACCTCAGATAAGTTCTCATCTTCAGCGCCCCAACAACATCAGATCTAATTATTTGTCCATTGCTGTTGACAAGTATATTAACACTCTCCACGACATCCAAGAAAACCTGAAGAAACAATAAGAAATCTCCATAATTCTGCGGCAGGTATCTATAAGCAACTAATAAGAAGAAGAAAAGCAAAAGCCACCCACTTCATTCTTCTTGTATAGTATCCCCTCACTCCGCCAAGATACTGCATTTGTGACAGCCATAGGAGGCCTCTGTGTAACTTCCATTCTATATGCGTCAGTCTTGATAAATTCACTTAAGATGGTTGCTTCAGTATATTGAGGATAGCCAAAGTCCATCATTTCATCAAGCAACTCATACTGACAAAGGTACAAGGAACAACTTTACCATCTAAATTTGTTCAATGCTGGAGTAAACTAATATTATAAGAAAAAAGGAAGATTAAAAGATCAACGCACCACCACCACAAAGTTATCTCTAAGTGATTCCTCTTCTAACTCTTCAAAATAATGCTTAAAAACCTGAGTAAAATGGATGACCATAATCAGGCACTTTAATTGACTAAAACAAAACAAATGTGATGATTGACAGCAAATGAGAGCAACGCTTACATCGACTACACGGTGTAGAAAGAAAAGAAGGCTGGCAGCATTGCAGTTCTGCCTCGACGCAGTCATAAGATAAACATTGGAATGCTGTATAAACAAGTACGAGACTCCATTATCATACACAACCGGATCTTGTGATTGCGCATCTCCCTAAATCACAACAAATAACCAAAAACAAACAACAATCACTACACTTTCAGCTTCTAGGCTTAAAAACAGCAGATCCAGGTAAACAAACCAGATTTTAAATATATTTATCTAAATCAAGCTAAATTAACTTGAATTGCACAAAGTGAGTCCAACCAATTGAGCATAAAAATTAAAAAAATAATAATAAAAAAAATAAAGAAATGAGATAACCTCTTTCTCGATGAGCTTGGTGAAGAAGCGCTCGGCTTGAATAGCGGAGACATCTCCACGGTAGTCGCGCCACACGAGAACCCGTCCCTTGATGTCTAGAAGAAACAGTGCCGAGACTGCACCTGCCATGTACGTTTTTATAGGTTCCTACAGATCAATCAGATATACTAGTGTTGTATAATATCATGGATGAGATCTTAAGGAAAAATCAGAGTCAGCCGATTTAGAATAAAAAATTTATCAGAACATTAACTCAGGAATTGCAGAATTTTATTGCTAAATCATTGTCGCTAATGTTTGTGATTGTTTACTGGAGGTCGATCCATCGATCCTTCAATGGCATGGCATTTGTCTTTCTTGCTAGCTACTGAAGTCTTTCTTTTAAACGAAGCCGTTTTGGGGTCAAACTAACTTCATTAACCATTAGCTATTTTGTGTGGCAAAATTTTAACGGATCTCTCTTTCCCTCCTTACTCTTTGTAAAAATTTTCTATTAAAAATAATATATGGTGCATTTGTTTTATTATTTTGGATATAATTTTAAGAATAATATTGGATAATTAAGTAGGGTTATTATTATGAGAATAAGATTTGAAGAATATGTGTTTGGTAGAGTATTTTGACCTTGATATTTGTGTTGAATATTTGATTGATATATTTTTTTATAAATGATTTATTAATATAATATTTTGGTGCATTTTGTTAAAATAATGTATTATTATAACCTTAAAACTTATCAATTTATATTTTAATAATATTAAACATTTTATTGGTAATTTTGTAACCAGTAAATATTAAAAAACAAAAACCCATATTAATTTCAAGTACAAACCCAACTGTTTAAAAACATCACATTAATACATATATGACAAAAGTACTAATTATCAACCCTTACAATCGTTCTTACACGTATACTCCATTAACAACTACGACATGGTCCACTGTGCTGCCCACAATGCATTCGTTATGTTATCCCATACAGTCGTCATGTTGTCTATAATACTTTGCTGCGGTTGACTCGGTCCTTCTCCATTTCGGCCATCTTCTGCCCCGTTTTGACGATCACAATATACTTGCTCATTACTCGTACTATTATTGGTCTGTTCGAAGATAGGGTCGTCCATATTGTACATTATGATAAAATTATGAAGTACACAAAATGCCATAACAATTTTCCCTTGTTTGTCCAACGAGTAATTGTTCATTCTATTCAGAATACGGAACCGTCTTTTCAAAACACCAAAGGTTCTCTCGACAACATTGCGGAGTGGAGCATGTCTATAGTTAAACAACTCTTGTGGCCCCCTTCGGTTACGGCGATGATAAAAAATATGGTAAGCCACTTGCCTATGAGAGGCGAGGAACCAATCTCTATTTGGATAACCCGTATAAACCAAATAATATTTCCCTGTAATAAAATCAGACATTTTATTTGAATTACAAGGCCTCAACAGTGGAGCAAATACGTTATAATACGTCAAGAAAATACTTATACCTGGTGGAGGATGTGGGAATCGAGAATTAGGATCATCAAAAATTGAATTTAAAACTCTTGAATCATGCGCAGATCCTTTCCATCCAATAACGACATAAGTGAACATCATCCTAAAGTCGCATACAGCCATTACATTCTATGACAACGTTCTTTTGCGATTCCGGTACCTATCGGCAAATTCATGTGGAACCGAAGCATATACATGTGTGCCATCAATGGCTCCAATACAGTCCTATCATCAAAATTGAATTTTACTCATATTAATCGACTATCAAAATTAATAACACATTGAACTTAACTATCCACTAATAGAAAACATAATGAACTAGTACCTTAAAGAAAGGGTAACATTTTCGGTTGGCTGATATTTCTTTTCGGTTGGTTGATATTTCCCATGAAACATCATTGAAGTCAGGTGATCTGATAAACTCTGTCTTCAACTCATATATAGCCTCGCAAACTGCGCCAACATGTCTAGAGATCGTCTCACCTGAATGTTGGAAATCCTCCATCATCATTCTGATTGTCTCGTTTTTACCAACGATTGTTAGAAATATCATAACTTGTTCTTGTTCTTCCAAATTTGTCTTCCTGGTTGGTCGCAATTTGCCTTGCTCAAACAAAATTTCACATAAGTATGTAAAACAGTCTTTGTCCATGCGGCACTTGTCATAGATCCTGTTAGCATGACCATTGAGTACTTCCAACATGTACTCATGACTAGTTAATACGGATGTATGTCGTAGTTGACACCCAGTTGTTTCTAAAGTGGCAACACCGTAAAGTGCAATGGCTATATCTGTCAGTATTTCTTCTTTGTCATCTGTAGAACGTCGTCTTCTTCCTGTACGGCTAGACGACGCCATTTGAACCTGCACATTTGCAAAACATTGATCAACAATTAACAGTTGTTGTACTACTTAGCAAAATATAACAGTCAATATTTAATCCTAATGACAATCCAAAACGAGGTTGAAACATGTAATATCACATAAAACGGTAGCATAATTAATAAGTTCATACAGTAGCGTTATAAATTCTAATTCTAATGAAAAGTGCCCACTAACACATACAAAAGTGTTGGCAAACACTTAGGACATATAGTGTCATCTACAAATTGTGAAAGTCGTTATAAATCCAATTAGCCTTTTCCTCGGGCGGGAGTTTCACAAATATCTCCCGCCACCATGGATTTTGATATAAGTACTTGACAACCGGCAGGTAAAACTTTGTGGATACTTGCATGACCGTCATGATGTCAATATAATTGCTCATGGAAAATAGATCAGATGGACCACTGGTGTTCTCTTCGTCCCTCTCATCTGCACTGCGATTGCTAGCCCTCGATCCCATAGTCCGCTTCTCCACAAGCTTGTCCATCAATCTACCATTGACATCCGCAAGTGATTGTCCTGGGCCGCTTCTGTTCCTCCTATTTCCCGCTCTTCCATGGCCAGATGTGTTTGGTCGCTTTTCCCTTGTCGTCCAATCTGGATTAGGTTCAAAGTAACTATCAACCATCGGAATCGCGCCCTGATTGGAATAAGTGGAGGTCTCCACCAGTTGAGATGTAGATGTGTATGCATATCTCCCAATGGCAGTTTGCTTCTCAAATATGATTTCATAAAGCTCCTTGTGAGGAAGTCCTTTGTGGTAGAATTGTTGCGCCAGTGGGTTTTGCTGGTAAGTTAAAAGAATAATATATTAATATTTGGCAGTTCGAAAAAAAAATGCGCATAATTACGGTGTCGTTGATTAATATTAGTTAAAAAAGATGAAAACTTACCCTGACATATTCTTGCCAAACCTCAACGGGACACGTTGGACTTTGCGACTCATGATCCCACCCGAACCCCGTGTGTTGCAGCAATTTCTGCCATGCTTGATATACTCTTCGCAGGCGAAAGAACTTAGAGGTTAGTTGTGTAACGTTGAGTCTCCTGCCAGCCACTGATGATAAGTCGTCCAACATTTCCTAGTAATCTGCTATTTTTATTAAAGTACCGTGTGAAGTTTTCGCCCGCTTAGACAACAGGACCAGAAATTTATGGGTCATCTCAACATACCAGGTCACATAATCACTCATCTAAGGACAGTATGGTGAGAACGACAACCAACATTGGGACACCATATGAATCACCAATCACATTACAAAATATAATACTCACATGTTAACGTAATCAAGTAAACACAGATAAACTTATATCTTGTTCGATCCAACACTGCTTGAAGACGTCAATGTAGGGGAAGATACAGACAATGTCGACCAATAAGGTGTATGACGAACTCCAAGTCTGGAAAAACATCGAAACTTTCACCTCTGCTGCAAGTAGTAATCAATCCTACGACATTGGGACAAATTATACTGACATCTGTGCATATGAGCGTAATTTGTTGTTATGATTAAAGAACGATGTCGAATCTACAGAACAAATATATCAGTTAGTGAAATCCGAAAAAAATATTTCTAATAATCCAATAATTTTTTACTCCCAAAATTTATCCAGTACATACAGCATGTTACATACAGAACATATGAAGCTGCACAATTTTTTGACGCATGTGTTAAACACGATAAACAACATGGTACATGCTCTAACCATTAAACTCCACAAACAAATCCACTAGATCCAAGTTTCTCATGTGCAAAAATCACTTTGTCTTCACCAACTATAAAACGTATTATTGCAGTCTAAATTAAAAGGAATAATAAAAGGAAAAAAAGTACTAACACAATGGCAAAATTAAAATAGAAATTAGGACAATTGCGTTGGGTGTCTTGAAAAGAAACACGTCACGGAAGCTAACTGGATTCGCAAAAGCCAACGGGTCTCTTTCCTTTCTCTGAATAAATTCACGGGTACAACAGATTTATAAACCTGCAAAACAAAAAAAATCAACAGATTAAACTCATTTGTAAACTCCAGCACCAAACAAATGCATGCGCACATCATACAGACAACACATTTACAAACTTCCAAAAAAGTCCTTTCCCGTTCACAGTGTTCCCTTCACAGAAGTCAAATATTTTTGGTGACGGTTTCACGGGTTTGTGGCTTAATAGTGACAGATTTGAGTCGTCCATGGGTGGTTGCGATAGGGTTGTGACGATCAGAGGGTTTGTGGCTTGACGGTGACAGATCTGAGTCATCCGTCGGTGGTTGCAGTGGGGTTGTGACGATCGGAGGGTTTGTGGCTTGACAGTGACAACTCTGAGTTATCCGTCGGTGGTTGCGTTGGGGTTGTGACAATCGTAGGGTTTGTGGCTTAACGGTGATAGATCTGAGTCGTCCGTCGATGGTAGAGGTGGGGTTGTGACTATCAGAGGGTTTTTGGCTTAATGGTGATAGATTTGAGTCGTCTGTGGGTGGTTGTAGTGGGGTTGTGACGATCGGACGGTTTGTAGCTTAACAATGATGGATTTGAGACATCGGTGGGTATTTGTGGTGGGTTTGCGATGATGGTGGAAGATGGTGATGGGTGGTGGCTGTGCGGTTCTATTTTGATGATGTTGGCAGATTGATAGGGTGGTGCTGTGGGGTGGTTTTCTTATTCAAGTGGCTGGTCCTTTGGCTAATGTGCTTTGTTTTGTATTTGCAGGTGGAAGATTATGTTGGAGAAGAAAGATGGTTTGTGACGGTGGTGAAGCACTAAAGGTGGTAATGCAAAGTGAGAAAGTGACGCTGGTGAAGCATTGAAAGTGGTAATGCAAAGTGAGAAAGTGAGGGTCGTGAAGCACTGAAGCTAGTAATGCAAATTGAGAAAGTGAAATGGTGAAGCACTGAAGCACTAAAGAAAAGTGAGACTGTGAAATAAAAGCAGGACTGCAAACTGTCTTCAATGGTAAAAAAAACTATC